GTAATTACTATATAATATATAAGAAATCTAAGTAATTATAGCTAGTAGATATATAGAGTCTACCTAGAGGTATAGTCTAGGTTAAGTTAAGTCACACGGACCTTAGGTAGAGGTAGTAGTAGAGGTCCTTAGCGTTAGGTAGTGGTTAGGTTGGGTCTTACAGGGGTGCGACCTAACCCAACCACTACCCAGGGTCCGTGCGCCCCAACCTCTACCACTACCCAACGCTAAGGACCTCTACCACTACCTCTACCCGAGGTCCGTGCGACCCAACCTAACCCGGACCGTACCTCTAGGTAGACCCTACCTATTTGCCAGTCTACTCTAGACCCCGTGTAACACTAGGGTTAGGTTAATAGTTAGGTTATCTAATAAACTTTTTCATTTTTTAACTTTAAAAACTTAGCTATTAGAGATAGAGCTTAACTTTCTACTAGAAACTTCTAGCTCTAGGCTTAAGCTTTAAAATAAGCTACTACTTACCGACTTTAGACTAGTATCCGCTAAGATATTTAATAACCCGACTTAAATACCCGTTTACCAGCCTAATCACTACCCAACCCAAGCTAACACCTACCTCTACACATTGACTACCGTAACTCTAGATATTCCGCCTAGAGAGAAAAGAATAGAATAAATAGGATAGTATAACTAGAGGTAATAAGGATATAAGGATAGATAGATTTTAGTATTACTCTTATCATAGTTAACTTAAATTATACTTTCTTACTAGTTACTTTACTTAATAAGATTATTACTTATTAGTCTATAGCGAAATAGATTATTAGTTATTAAATCTATTATTATCTATTCTATTAAGCACTCTACTCTACTATCTCGCTAGACAACCCTTATAGAATACTAATATAAAGCTTACTAGTCTTAGTGTGGACCTAGTAATAGAAGTATAGATCTAGACCCTATGTAATAAAAGTATTAGAACTAGCTTCAACTATATTCTAACAATATAATACGATAGGAATAGAGACTACGCTGATTGTTATTAGTCTTAGTCCCGCTAGCGTTGCTAAGGTATGTGAGATTTCTTTCTTAATATTCTCCGTCTAATCACTAAACATTTTTACGAGCGGCACTTGCATCATATCAACGAAGTGCTTCAAAAACGTATAGTTGGAACTCCATTTTGTTATCGAACCTACCTAGAGCAACCCCTGAGCAGCCAGGCGGCTGGATCGTAGAAGCCCGATAGTTTACCCCTATTGACACGCACCAACATGCGATGTTTCTCCTAACTAATGCCGTGCATCCTTCACCTAGATCGTTCTCTTTGTCATTTCATCCTTGTAATTAAAAACAGCACTACTTTGCGCTCAATCATATAATACACCTCTGTTATAGTTAACCCCTTTTCATGTTCAGGCTAACATGTTCGTACGTTCGTGTTATAATGATGAGCTCAGTATGCAAATAGCTGGTCGCCCAGGCGTTTAGTCATTTGCAGTCACAAAAACTAGTCTGTGGATCTTCTATACTAATCATTCGTGAACTATGCAAGTAAGTGCCCTATAAGCAGCATAATAAGAATTAAGAGCGACGGAATTTTAACCTAAAATGGAAGAGTGGTGCGTGAGACCGAAGTGGGGAACGTCCTAGTTAATCCCTTGATTTATTGGTGAGCGTGCCACAACATGCCCAGTGACTCTATTTGAGTTCCAATAGCGAGCACATCCGCGGATTACTAGACCATTTACTAGACCATCCTCATCTCTGTGAGTAACTGACGCATGTGCGGTTCAATTCCACTCGGATAATGCGTTTAATGTTTCGAACCCGAAAGACCATATAGCTGACTAGTATGTATTCGTACATATGGAACCACTGATGCCATTGTCCTAAATATAACGAGATTCGGAAAAGGCCACTGAAGTTACTGCGAAGATCTGATGTAATTTTGACGTGCTTGAAAACAGCCATCGAGAATTGGTCCACGCTCGATTGTATTTGTATACGATTTCAGACTACCCGAACACTCCTCATCAAAATTCAAGAGCAAGACTTCGATCCGCACATCCCTGCCCCTGTATGTGTTCTAAATTTGATGACTGCATGTTTACACGCATTCACTGCAGAAACATCTGCCATTATCGTAACCGTAGCTAATCAAATGCTCCTCCCACCATCCAGCATGGTGCCACCCGCATTTTTCCATGATGTGTCTGCTCGTCTGAGCACGTCTACTCGCAGTGCATTGGACCGAGTTGATAGCACGGTCGCAAGGGATTGCAACGGTATTGCCACGAACAGAGTAGTAGTTGTGGTGACCCATGGTCGGCCCATAATCACTGCACTAGTAATCCAGATCAGGGTTTGCTGCATCAGTATCCTAGAATGAATCTATTAGGATCTCTTCATAATGAATTTCAAGAGTACTGACGCCAGGATGCATATTTGCTTTGTCAGCGCCCTGGTTGCAAAAAGTGCCATCGCAGGCCTGAAGGCTTGGAGAGCGAATGGAGTTCACTATCTTGGTGTAAGCGCTCAATTCAGTGGCAGAGAAGTCCGTGGTGTTGCCAATCTTGACGTGGATATCAACACCATTGGCATCGACATGTTGCTTGTAGACACCATCTCCAGTGCCCTCGGGAATGATGAAAGCACTAGAAGCGCTGGGGAAAGCAAGAAGGAGAGTTTTTATAAGCTGTATTGCAGAAAGATGTACAAATAAAGTTGATTGATCCTGTTGCTTGTAGTCTCTGTGTGTCTTTGTGGTGGCGAGAACGACTCCTTCCTTTATACCTTCCCTCTCCCCATGTATAAGCTATTCCTCCATGAAACTGCTCGCCTATATGGTTCGGACCTTGGCGAAAAACATGTTGTTGTGACAGTTTCATGAACTTGGGCTCAAGAAGGGAAATGCACTTTTCAGAAGCACAATTAGGCCTGTTGCATATGAGACTAATCCTTATGATCGTTCCTGGTACTCTACTAACAATGCAGGCGAAATTGGAGGTAGGGAGTGGATAAGCACTACTTGGAAGCACTATTAGTTGTGCTCCATGAATGTATTGCCAACGGGCATCGTGATATTGGGTACGCTAGTGGCTGAGATCTGGTTTTAGTCAGTAAGCCAACACGCTACACCAGCACTAGCAATGGATTATTTACATTCCGTCGCTATCAGCCGCTTGGTGGCTCTCTTCCAGGACACATTATACGGACCGCTTAACAACTCAAAATTTGCATGAACAAATCAATACCACATTTTTGGAGGCTGTGTAGTGAAACTTCAGTGCCAGGTCTTTGATCACTTCTCAATTCGCGACCTATACCTACATATAGCATTTCAAGAGTGTAGTGTGTTAGCGCACCGTATAGGATAGGTTCGCAACTCTGGTGCTATCCCGGATTCCTTGGCTAGAAATGGCAGATACACAAACGAAAAATCCGTAATTCTGCCCACTTAAGATTGCTACAATAGGCGCAGCTGAATAGATTGGGCATATCATATATGATTACCACGAGTGAATATAGATGTAATGGGGGCCTGAGAAAACCAAGAAATGTCTCAAACAGCGAGTGCCTGGATGCATTCTGATCAGACCCATCAAGAATTCTTTGAAAGTCTCACTCTATGAGCGGCCACTGCTTTGAAGCAACAAAACCTTCACTGAAAATAGTCTCTTGGGAGAATCATGTACAGAGGTTTTTCATCCCTGATACCTAAACCACGGCCCTTGCTAGCGCTTCTATCTGTTCGGATGTCAGCGAAGGGGTTTATCAATAATAGATCGTTGAAGAAGGGATTGCAATGCCGACAAAGATTCCCGAAGCTACCGAATTCTTTAGCTGTTTGACACTGCGATAGAATGTGAACTTCTACCTGTTATTATGCATTATCTACTTGCATCGAGGCGCATCTCGATACAGTAAATCAAAGAGTCCAGATCATTCGATACATGACTTGCAGATACAAGCAAAATACATATCCAAACTCTTTACTACCTTAAGAACTTACGATAAGCTTCCTTTTTCTAGGAAAGTTTTTATAGGAGCCTCAAGCCCCTTCTATTACCTCTCTGGAAGTTTTGGTGAATTTGGAGCTATTGTGCAGCCTTACGAGCTGCGATACTCGCGACCTTTTTAGTCTCCTTCTGCTCCTTCTCCTTCTGCCTTGTCAGGCTTGCTGCAACCCTAGCTGGTGTCTAAAATCCTTCTCCTGCACCTTTATCTACCTTGCTTGCTTATTCTCCCTCAATTTTTTAGCTCTTTGGTGTTGTACCTGCTCCTCCTGCTGGAGTCATAGGCTGTCGTGCCCTTCCTTTACCTTGAAACCCAGAACACAGCATCACCATGATACTCCTCAGGCTATCATAAAAGTAGAAGCCTCCCTCATTTTCTGCGCGTTTTCTCATCAGCCAAGCCATCCTTCGTTAGTGTGCATTGAACTGGGCCTGAGTGGGAGTTGCTGCTCAGCGTTATATATTGCATGACATGGCTCCAGAGGAAAGTGCTATTAGCTTACGCAGATACTCTGTATTTCTTATAAAGAGACTCTAAGTCTAACTTGAATATATCGTTCGAGCTTGAATTCTACGTAAAAACGATAGAGACCTCCATATAACGATAAAATTCTAGACAAAAACGTAGTGACCCTCTAATCGCAACACCCACAAGTAGCATCAATGATGCAACGCTATTATTCAATCAGTGAAGGTACTAATGAAGGATACATGTCTATATATAAAACGTACCCCAAGAATCTTAGGACAACTGCAGACAATAGGTTGTGAGACCGGTGGAGGTGGTGAGATTGATGGAGCTTGTGTAACTGTTGGCAATCCAGGGCCCCCTCCGGCTTGACGAGCTTCAAGCGCATCTTGCACTTTACCCAGATCGAGTCGGCTGTTTAGTTTAGTTGGGGTGCTTACGACCAGCGCAGCGAAAGCCAAGGGTAGAGTAACAAAAAGCTTCATCTTGACAATGTTGAAACCTAGTAGAAGAGTGTTGTTGTGAACTATTTGTGAGTTGAGAAGTGAATTGAGAGATTGTTGAGTATGTAGGCAAAGTGAGAAAAACCGAGCACCTTATATAGAGGTTTTGTATCAAGCGACATATATTTTTAATAAATTATTTTCAATCATGGCTTATTACTGAACACGCATTGCTCTGGCAAGCCCCGTGTCGGATGTAATGGACCGCGGTAGTCATAATATGAGTCTATAAAAGTAAAACTATCCAGTTTCTACCTCAATCTAGGAAAATGCTAAGTAGCCAAGTCGCCTTTATTGCTAAAAATCTAGACCTGAAACTGCTGCAAAACGAAGAAATGAAAGCAGGCCCTAGGCCGGCAAGGATCCAGGTATAGCAAGTCCGTTCACTTAAACGCTTAACACTTGGCGTGTTAAATAGGTTTCAGACCTATACTGCTGTACCTTTGTTCTTACTAGAGCCTGTAAGCTCTATACTATTTTAAGCCAAATAATGAAATCTATTTATTCAATATCTTGATTGCTTCTGTTTCCAACATTCCGTCCATCCCATCTTAGCGGGACATTCAGGATGATACTACTATCTCTTCCTGCTCTGCTATTCTAGATGGTAAGCCTTGACGGGATGGCATATTATGTGACCTTGAGCCCTGCGATGGCTATTACTTTCTTTCATGGACGCCCCTAGGCTCCCTGCCTTCTTATCTCTTGTCAAGGAGAGCACTTTTCTTGCTCGATTGTAACAGCTAGATGATTCCGCACTAGGAACGAGCTGCTTTGTAGAGAGTGCCCGCCTTAAGGACTAGACCCGTCTACATGCGCGTTGGCAAGGCCTGACGGAAAAATCGAAATGGATTGCCTAAAAATTTACCAAGACTGAATTATCTGGCCCCCACGGTCCAGACCTCTCACAGCAAATCATCCACTTCACACAGTCGCTATGTAATGTAGTTAAAAAAAATCAGAACTTCTCACGGACTTATTTAAACAATTACCATTTTTTCATTATTGGCCTCTTGCTGGCATTGGTCGCATGGTGAGACACAAAACTATGCCTAGGACGTGATTTTGTTTGAACGCGAACAAGCACCACTCGCTGGAGATCCGCCACATGAATGGCCATCCCGTAGTCGAGACCTACTTTCGTGACCCTATGTGGGACATCAGGGGCGAAAAGAGACTGGAGTAGAGATGATACTTACTTAGTGCTTACTTCCGATTAAGAACTAACGCAAACAAATTGGGCTAAGAAGGCCCTAATACTTTATTCTTAGGAGATAGGACCCGAGGCAACCTTTCAAATTTGGTGAACGAATAATAAGTATGTTGATCAGGCCCAGATATTCCCTTGGGTTGCCTGAACACGAGTTAGAAATTGTCAAAAGAGAGTGCCCAATATATAAACAAACAAGACCTTGTGTCATAAAAGAATGGGAAGCCGCTTCAAAGCTATAAACCTTGCAGTTGATATTCTTGCAGTCCGGAAAACAAAATATGTCAGACATTACAAGCTCTTCGGATTTCCTCTGTGGAGTCTTACCGGCCAAAGACATCTCCAAAATCAACCCAATACTATATCTTCACGACCCTCTTCAGGCAGCCGGATCGAACGCAGAAACGTTTCTTCATCGCACCCCTCGACAATTCCCTACCTCAGAAGAGAAAAACATCAAGAATCAATCATATTGGGTTACTTTCACACCACTTGAAGCAGAAAGACGCTTTCCTTACCTCTCGGGTATTACACCGGCCCATAAAAACGTATTTTGGAGACAGACGTTAGGTGTGGTCAATGAGCTACTCGAACTGATTCAAAGCGACAAGAGTGAGCTAGATCCGCCACTACGCGATGGCACAACACTACGGCATGTTTGCGCGAGTATAGGCATCAAGCATGGTGCGCATATGGCTGGGGTATATTTTGCAAAAGCAACTGCGATGATGTATCCATTCGGCGAGGATCCTAGGCGCTTGGAGCTGATCAACGTGCTCATGATTATGTTATGGGTTTTCGACGGTAAGTCTCTACGTAACCATCCGGTGTCAAATTTGACAAGAGCAGACAAATGCGAAAAGAGCACCGGAGAGGAAACAGCCAATGTACTACATGAATGGAGAGTGCGCCTTGGAAGCGCGGATCAAGGGTGTGTCGAAAGTTCGCCACTGCAAACGTATCTCGACAAAACGATTGCAGCAATCTACGAATACGACCTTATTACAGGTAACACAGCAGGAAAAGAGATGCACTACGCCACTCTAAACACAGAATACTGGCTGAAGCCGCCGGCAAAGTGCGAAAACCTTAGCGAGTATCTAGCCTATCGCTACCGAAATGTTGGTGCACTATTTGTCTGGTCATGTGTAAAGTTCAGTTTGAATCTCAAAGTGGGCATTTTGGATCCGCGTATCGCACAATGGCTTGAGTGGGCTAGTATGCATCTGGGCATGACGAACGATTTGTACTCGTGGGCGAAAGAAGCAAAAGAGCAAAGCGAAGAGCAGGGACCAGCAAACGCAATTTTTCATCTTAAACAGCTCTTGTCTCTGAATGAGCGCCAGGCTGTTGAGATGTTATACAGTATGATCCTACCGAAGGGAGCATTGATGCACGAACAGTTACTGAGCTGGGAGAACAAGTGCCCTTTTGACGACGGCATGTGGGCGTTCTTGAGGGGAGTATGGGGTACGCTTGCAGGACATGTATTGTACAGTGCGACGTGTGCTAGGTATGCTGGAGAGCAGGGTAGAGTTGTACCAGGATAAGGCTCAACAATGTGTTGATGGAGATATTCATGCTGAGTTCCGTAACGTGCTAAAGCTCGTTTGGACGGGGTGAAAACTCTGGAGCCTTTTCAGATGTTGTTACCAGAAAACTTTGATACCATCGTTTCAGGACACATTCAGTCACATTCGTCGTAGTATATCACACACAACATGGACAGCTAAAATTCACACACGCGAAGAGGAGATGCAAGAAGCCATACGTGGCGAGAGAAAAAGATACAATACATTGTTAGCCTTCTCGGATTCTCCATCTGGCCATTTGCTTCTAGAGGAATACAGATGTGCAAATGGTTCCTCTAATTGCCTCAAATAAATCATTGAGGCTTCCTCGAAGACTGAGTTTGGTTTTATGGCGAATGATTCCTTACCAAGGAAGATCTATACTCTTCATAAGCTCTTCTCCTATCTTGTTCATTGCGGTCAAAAATCTCTTTTTCATCACCAGTTAGCAGAGAAGCCTTTCGACTTGATTCTTCCCTGCGAGCATTCTCTTGCTGGTCCGCTTCGTTCAACTGTGCTCCAAGACTTGGTAGAGATAACCCTGTCGCAGATCAGCACATTATTCTCAAGCTGGAGTACCATGCGGACCATCGGATCTTGTCTGTCTCGAACTAGTAAGAATGTTCTTGGTACAGTGGCGGATCTTGCTCAGTAGGGTAATGCGATGCAAATCGCTATTCGTGATGCTTCTTTCTCTTTGGATTTTGAGATATTGGGTGTGATGGGTATAGACTTGTAAAGATTCAATCGACTCTGCTCCAATGATCGCTTCGACTGTGATCCCGTCCAGTATATAAAATGTCGTGGTCATGACATGTTGAATAGGCTTATCTTGTAGATTGATGCTCTGCGCGTCCGGTGATTGAACATTGATTTCGCCCTCTACCAAATCTCCCGTTTCCCTTTCATCGCCTGCGGACTCGACTACATCGTCGTCCTTGAATTCAATCAGTTGCGCAGATGATCCAAGCGACAATTGAGCAACAGATTTTCCACGTGCTGTCTTGGTTCTCCCGTTAGCAAATACGACTTTCTGCGAAGTATCTTGCCACCTGTATTTGCGCTTAGTCGCATAGGCAAGGGAAACAACATCGACTTTAGAACCGCTGTCGGGAAGTGCTGTGATTACCTCTCCATCTATGCAGCATGTTGACCGTTGATTTATAGCACCCATCGCGCAAACCTTGAGAATGCCCGGTGTTTTGAGTGATATTTGAACAAGACGGTTGCGGAACATTGTGAAAGTTTCTGTCTTATCGAGAAAGGAAGCAGACATCGTAAGGTCTTCAACCAAAGAAGGTACCACGAGAAAGGTGCAGCGCATCTTCCAATCGAAAGAGAACGTCTTCGAAAATCTGCAACTCGCATGAACGATTGCTGTAGATATTTCCGTGCTGCCATCCAAAAGGTTAAGTTTCGTCTTCTTGGGTGTACTCCATTCTAGTCTCAGTCCAAGGTGAAGCGCAAGTTGCAGTGACATGACGTTATGGGCAGAGCCACTATCAGGCACAGCCATTACGGTTGCGGGGCCTGGATCTCCCTCGAATTTTATTAGTAAACCACACACCAGATTTGACTTTTTGACTAGCTTGTAATGTGGCTTCTGACTTCGTAATGAACATTTTGGTAATTCTCGACCGCCGACGGTCGAGTGTCTCCTTGAGCTTTCACGTTGAAGCTCGCTGATTTCTTCATCGAGTGCTCTGATTCGGTCTGCAGTATTGACGAATAACGCTTGAAGTTTCAGATCTGCTCTCTGCCATCGGCTGATGCGATCCACTTCTGCTGCTCGGCGTCTCATCTTCGTATTTATCTTTTCGCAAAGCTTGCAGAGAGTTCCAGTAGGAACGGTCTGGAATAAAATCTTCATGCCACAAGTCTCACCAATTCGCAGTTCTTTGTCGCAATGTTGTCGGAAGTGCACCCATTTCCAATTCCCACAGACGAACGTGTGTTGATCGTAAAAACACATGTTGGATTTGACTATTGATATTACAGCAGAAGTGTAAGTCTTAGGGCTGATAGGTTGGGGAAAAGAGATGATGACGAGATTGTAGCGAAGGGCGAGAAGGAGAGTTGAGAGCGTCAATTTTGCAAATAAAAGCCCAGGCCTTACTGGTACGTATGTGTCTTTTCCTAAAGGATGCTAATATGCAGCAACACTACACATATAATTTAAAAGATCCAACCAGTTTTCGCAATAATGGTTGACATAGCTGAATGGCTGCAGGAAAGATGTGCGTGGCCTTGCAGCATGCAGTTTTGAATCACAAGGCACACCGAGGCTGAATGCCAAGAAATCCGGTGAGAAATTCATTTCCAATTGGTATCAATCGCATGAAACTACAAGCTACGATACCAGATCAACATGGACATCGAAAAAGGGACGCCCGACCAGTCTTTCCTCTCAGGATATCCTTCACTGGCAGCTTTTATTGCCAGTGATCGCGACCAAACAACAACAATCTTCAAGAGGTTCAACCGTTTAGCCGCACGATACTTGCTGCATCTTCAAAGCCAGCTCGCTGAGTTACAGGCTGGACAAGATGAACTGGACCGCAAAGATGCTTTGAGCCCTCTAGAGGTAAAGCAGTACTCGCGAAACTGGGCTGAGTTCATAAGGGCAACCGACAACGATCCTCATCAGAAGAGACGTAACGAGCTGAGTGATAAAATAGGTGAAAGACTCAAAGCTTATCGTAATTACATGGAAAAAATGCTGTAACAACTTTGAATTGATACATTTCAAAGGAGAAGCTCTGCTATACGAAAGCCAGTTGGCATCATTTCCTAGACCGCCAAAACGAACGCTTGAGGCATTTCGTTTCAAGTTCTTCGATCATGGAAGTGGACAACCGTATCCAACTTTAGGTGCACGCAGTAGGGCGTTATTCGATGACGATGACGACTTGGTAGTATTGAAAGTACAGGACCGTGATCGGCTTACTGCGTTTCTGCAAGATCACTGCTCAAGGATGTTCAGAGTGGAGAAAGATAGGGATGGCATTGCATATCCCTCGGATCAGCAAATAGCCCAGACTGTGACTATTCTGTGTATCCTGAACGCTGCGGCGCTGCTCGTCGGGACTATAGTAGCGCTGTACGTGATATCCTCTGAGAAGACAAAGTTGGGTGTTATTGCTCTCTTTACCGCTTCTTTTTGCAGCCAATGTAGGCATTCTGATGAATTCAAGAAGATCGGAGGTTTTTGCTGCAGCTGCTGGGTACGCTGCAGTGCTCGTCGTCTTCGTCAGTGGGAATGTCGGTACTCAGGAGAAGGGGAGATGATCAGTACCCCATGAATGTAAACTTAATATGTTGAAATGATCATAAGTCGTTTGTGTCATGAATCAAGATGCAGTTTTCAATGGTTAGATTTTCTCCGATTCTAGTCCGTGATATAAGTGCCGCCAGCTTAGACCCAGCGCCTTGGTGTAAGCATTCGTACATTGCGCAGTTGTCGCCTATCACCACACAACCAGTCCTGTACACTATAATTTTTTCTTTGATATTCTCATCTCATTTCTATAACTTACAGCTTGTTATGCAGTAGTAGAAGTCTCGGTGGATGATCTAGCCCGAAGTGCCGAAATTTTGGCCGGATTACTTGCCCAAGCCGTAGGGTGCACAGATGTCTGATCTGTGCAATGAACGTTCGACCACAAGCACGTGGGCTCCATTCCAATCGTGGTTTCATTGAAAGAAAAATATACTATAATGATTGCACTTCTTCATTTTAGGTTTGCAGACAACAAATGCTTCACAATAAGCACATCCGTGAAGATTGGCAACTTTGAGTGTTGTCCGCTACCTAAACACCCATGGACACTTCCGGTCAATTGAACGATTTGAAAAATTTCTCGGTCAAATCGAACACACCATCGCACGAATCAAGCGATACGTTGCTACACGGGATATCTCCAGAACGACTCTCGGGTGATCAGGATGTTAACCACCAGAAATTAAGCAATGATGAAAGAAATTCAAATCGACAATTGTCTCATGGAGAGCCGAAAGGACTCATATCACCCAATGACAACAGCAAAGAGTCTCGGATATCGGGAGAAAAGCCTGCAATTCCTTTAAAGGACCCCAATTTGGTATGTGTCGGCTTCAATATCCCCCAAATACAACATTTACTAAGCACAATATAGGTGACATGGGATTCTATTGATGATCCGGAAAACCCCAAAAACTGTAAACAAAGCCAGTTAGTCACATCGGCATGAACTGTTTTGTACTAATCCCTGCTTAGGGTCTATGAGACGAAAATGGGCCGCGTTGACGATCGTTGCCTGCTTTACTATAGTATCGCCTATTACTTCTTCCATGATCGCCCCCGCTCTTGGCCATATAACTGCTGATTTCCGGATCAAAAATGCAGTGCAATCGCAACTCACGCTGTCTATCTTCGTCCTTGCACAAGCCATTGGCCCACTATGTCTTGGGCCGCTTTCCGAGATCTATGGGCGAACAATCGTACTACAGTTATCCAACTTGTTCTTTGTGGGTTGGAATCTGGGATGCGCTTTTGCTCAGACTCCAGCACAACTGATGGTGTGTCGTTTCTTCAGTGGTCTAGGCGGATCCGCACCACTAGCTATCGGTGGGGTAAGTGTACTTCTTGAGGAGTTCCACCGCAGCATGAATGGCTGACTAGATTTAGGGTATTTTGAGTGATTGCTTCCTTCCAGAGCAGCGTGGACGAGCAGTATCGATTTATTCGCTGGGACCACTACTCGGACCAGCCATTGGGCCTATTCTTGGTGGCTTTATCTCCGAGAACACTTCATGTTAGTCTCTGCTTAGATTCTGATTCATTTGGTTCTCGTACACTAATGGATTTAGGGCGATGGTGTTTCCATGCAACAACAGTTTTCGCCGTAATGGTGCAATTTTGTGGGTTCTTCTTCCTCCAAGAAACCTATGCACCTAGGCTTCTGGATTTGAAGCGAGATCGGCTACGCAAAGAAACTGGTAACCAAGAACTTCACACTGTATACGACAATTCCGATCGGACTGCTGTAACGGTGATCACAACGGCGTTGAAGAGGCCATTCAAACTGCTAGGCACGCAGCCCATAGTCCAAGTGCTGGCATGCTACATGGCCTATCTCTTCGGGCTGATGTACCTCATGCTTTCCACTTTCCCCATCTTATGGGTTGATCGTTATGGCATGTCTATCAGTACCGGATCTTTGAATTACCTGTCCATAGGTATCGGATTCTTTGTTGGTACACAAATTACTTCACTCCTTATCGACACGCTCTACTGCCGTCTGAAGTTAAGCAACAACGGTATCGCGACACCTGAATTTCGCGTCCCTATGTTGGTACCTGCATCTCTTGTGATCCCCGTAGGTCTCTTCTGGTATGGATGGAGCGCGCAAGCCCGCATGCATTGGATCATGCCTAACGTTGGTGCTGCAATATTTTCCGCGGGCATGGTAATGGCGTTTCAGTGTATCAATGGGTATCTGATTGAATCTTACACGCGATATGCAGCGAGTGCCATTGCTGCAGCGACGGTCTTAAGGAGTCTAGCCGGATTTGGCTTCCCGCTGTTCGCACCAGCTATGTATAAGTCATTAGACTTTGGATGGGGTAACAGTATACTTGGCTTCATTGCAATTGGGCTAGGTGTCCCGGCGCCATTCATGCTGTGGAAATTTGGCAAGAAGTTGAGAAGTTTAAGTCGATTTGCGGCTGGCTAGGTGTTCATAGTTATCGAGGAAGATCGAGGTTCTATCGCTACACAGTATTTTTGATCGTTGCAGCAGGTACCTGTTTTGATATGAGGAAAGTCATGAGAAGGGCTGAATACATCCCAGTTCTCGAGATGATTGTCTCAAGTCATCTTCAACGGGCAGATGTACCAAGTAAAACTAGGCCACCAAGAATAACTGAAACGCAGAGAGTATAGCTCTACACACCGTTTGGTATCTAAGTTTACTTTCTCGGGGGCTTGATATCTGTAGATCCTAGACCTCACGAAAAGACGACGAGGGTGTTCGCGTGTTCCCAAAAGCGTGTCACGTGGGCACTCTTTTTGCACCGTGTCATCTTCCTAATGATCATAATTAATGCCCTATACACTACCAATGGTAGCACTTTCATATAATTTTATTCAATATCGCTGTGATCATATGTGTTTGGCGATGAGGCGTTCGGCTCGCAGATTTGTGGAATCACGTGATGGTCGTCCGATAGACCGTACTTCCACCCCACATCCCTGCATGAACCACAGTCCATTCTTTTCGCAACCTCGAGGTCCGACAATTCATCCTCACAAAATCATGTGAGGTTAAATTAGTACATTGGAGAGCCAGTTCAGACGCCGGAAGAGAAAAAGTGATCAAGAAAGAGGAAGCTGATGCAGTATATGCCAACGGTGGAGAAGCAACGGCATGATAAAAAGCTCGGATTTCCAATCAATTGGAGGCAAACTCTATCACTTCAATAACAGGATTCTAGAACTCGTCGCTAAGCCCCCATACTGTTCCAGGCCATATCCTCTATCTCTAGAGGAACCAACAAAAAACAAAGATGGTCATCGCTGATCCTGCGAAACTCCAAGCCAGACACAATTAGGAGCACGAAAATCGATAGCGCCCTGAAGGCATGCAAGAGTACGCCTGTTTACTCAGCGAAAAGAAAAAGCCATTCGCCCATGACTCACGGATTCATCAAGGCCAGCAGCAAGAAGCAGACCAGCTCAAGGACGGCGATGACGTTTAGCTCCACATCATTGCTGCAGGGCAGGTAGGGTTGCTGGCAGGAGAAATACTGAAAGAAGTAGGCTTCTTAGCAGATAAAATATGCCTCGGGGACGTGGCCGGCGAGTCTGATAGTACATAGTATTGGGACCGATATGCAGGCCTGCAATGTGATGTGGACAGCTACATTTACACGCCTTTCCTCGGGAAAATAAGCTCTAAACCCCTGTAGAAGTATGCATCAAGCTATGAGATCTGTCGATATTGGGAGCGCGTGGCATCGCACTTTGGACTGTGTGGCCAATCTTCGACACGTGCGCTCAGCGCGACATGCAACGATGGCCGGCGGCAGCGGGCAGTTCGAATGCGCAAGGAGCACAGTAACAGCGAGGAAATGACCGCCTTTACCCAGTTTCCGGCTTTGACTGGAACCCTCTTCGCACCACCGAGACTGCCTAATGTCGATGGCTTCGATGAGCTACGCGTAAACATCCCCGTCTTTCACACAGCGCACTGAGACTATGACAGCACTGGCAGCTCACAAACAGACACCACCCTCTCAAAGCTCAATAACAAGTGAGTCTGCACCATGTGTATGGCGGCAACAGCCGTCCAAGCCGTGCCACAAGTTGCACGCTGGACCGAATCCCCGTACGTGTTCCAGCGCACATACTCGTATTGCGCGTCGCCAGCGAACTACAGATGACGACCAGTGGATAAGCGAGATCGCAGCAGGGCTTGGTTGGCAACTTGCTCGCCAAATCAACTTCGATGCTCTCCTTAACGGTGAAGAATACTCGGCAGACCATCCCGATCTAGTCACCGATGGCTGGACTCAGGTTGCGCGCGTCTCTTTGGGCCTTATCGCGGGGCCGCGTCACGTTACACCCAAAAGACGTAGGAGGGCGCGCGCATGCTCTGTATGAGTTATAAACCCCGGTGGTGGAGCATGCGTGAGCACGAGTACGAGAGCCCGTAGTGAAGGACGCAGCCACGGCGAAGCAACCAAGTACGTATAGCCGTTTTACATCATGTGGTGTAAAAGACCCACCTTCCAGGATGAGTACCTACCTATTTCCAATCAGCCGCATGTCACGCTTATGGACACGGATGGCAAGGGTATAGAGCGGTGTACATCGCGGGGGGGTAGTTGCCAAGGGGGTGGAGTAAGAGCTTGACGTGTTGATTCTTGCCACGGGCTTCCTGCTGGTAATAGTGGAAGGCGTAGCGCCTGTTGAGCTCTTCGGTAAACCTGTTGCGGACCGTGGCAGCCGTCATCTCAAGGACAAATATGGGTATCCTGATTTTGGTGCATCGCATCGCATGGCTACGAATAACTTCCTCGGTCTTGGTGGCGGGCCGGGCTCACTAAATCTCACTGTCATTTTTTGACTTGAAATCCGGGCACATCGCCAGTATCCTGAAAGAGGCTGTGGGTTGGGTTCCGGATCCTGCACACCTTGTGATCGAGCTGACTAAGGAAATAAAGTACGCTTTAATAGATGAAATGGAGATTCGGGCAGCGTGATACTCGGTCTTGCTCGCTTGCACATCGGGCTACTTCAACCCTGAGGGCGACGCGTTGGTCCATGCCTCCAGCAATCTTGAGAAGCGGCCACGAGCGATACGGAAGGTACTTCATGGAAGGGAACAGCCGTGTGCGGTCAAATTATTCACGAATAAAATGCAGAGGGTGGGCCGCAGGACTTCAAGCCATTGCGAATGTTACTTTGTGAGATGTTATGTCATAGGGGCACATCAATGGGCTTACTATTGTGCATACATCATCCGCAGAGCATCAGCAAAATGTAAATACAGGTCCCCGTTCTAATGATTTTACTCTACTACCGTGTAATGTACACTATTTTTTAAAGCGATTTGCAATTATCACATACTTATAAACTGAACTATGATATAGGTGTATTTTCAGGCGACTCCATTGCACTGTACAGAAATTTGTCACCTGTCTCAAGCACCTATCATTGACAAGAAAAAAACGCAACTTTTTATATACCTTACCACATATGTTAGCCAGCATCTTGATCTCTGCCATATTACTCAGATTCAAATTCGACCCTATGTAGTAGTGTAACCGCCACCCGTACCCACCAGTAGCCTGCGGACCCCCGAACCTCCCCGCATCCATCACACTTTCTGCGCGCGCCACAATTCCAGCCCGCATCTTTGTTTACCCTCTCAACCCCACCCTTCTCTTTCCTTCTGCGCAGAACAACCCAATAAACCACACCAAACGCGAACGAAAGAAGAAAAAATGTCAGACGAAGATCTCGAGCAAATCCGGCGCGCGCGCCTCCAGCAGTTGCAGCAGCAGCAAGGCGGGGCTCGCGGTTCAGGCTCAGAGCAAGAGTCGCGAAAGTAAATACACTGCCCATACATCCCAAATCTCTATTTTACATAATAACTGACCCCTTTCTCCCCACCCACACAGACAACAAGAAGGTACACCCCTCCCTGCCACCCACCCACCAACAACCCACTCTCTGAACTAACCCCCACACGCACACAGCGGACCAACGCTCCTCAATCCTCTCTCAAATCCTCCTCCCCGAAGCCGCCGACCGCCTCGGCCGCATCCGCCTCGTCAAGGAATCCCGCGCCACAGACATCGAAAACCGACTTATTATGCTTGCGCGGACGGGCCAGTTGCGCTCAAAGGTGACGGAGGAGCAGCTGAAAGAGATTCTCGGGGCGGTGGCAGAGCAGCAGGAGAAGGAGGAGCAGAAGATTGTTGTGGAGAGGAGAGGGGGTGGGTGGGATGATGATGATGAGTTGGAGGAGCTTATGAAGGAGGTTTAAGGGAGAATGGAGGGGGAGGGGAGGGGAGGGGTGCATTGGGATGGCGTTTTATTTTCTATTTTCTTGGGAGGGGGGTTATGTGGGGGGATTGTTTGGCACGGTGCAAAGATTCAGAAGTGGCAATGGGGGGGATTGTGCACAAATATCTTTTTCTATGAGTTTGAATTGAAACAGATGGTTGAGTGAGAAAGATATCTAGAGCTTCTTGATTTGCTTCCTGACACGTCCGATATCAATCTCCTGCATTCGCATGTCTCTGGCTAGTGTGGCTAGCTGCGGAATTGGGGTCTCAACTGCGTTTACAAAGGCAGATTGTGCTGTTCGAAGGGCAGGTGGAACAAGGATGCCGAACCATTTGAGTGGATCATTGGATTTCTTCGTCGTCTTTGTTTTTTCTTTGCCCTCTTCTGATGCTGAGCTGGATTCTTCCGCGTTTGATGTCATTTTTGGCTCCTCTTCTTCTTGTTTGGATTCTGGTGCTGTCGGCGTAACATGTTCCGAATCATTCTTCGATTTCTGAACATCTTCCTTTTTGGACACATCATCAGAAGCATCCACGCTCTCATCTGAACAATCAGACTTGTGGACGGAAAAGTGCGGGACGTCACTTGTTTTGCCCTCAGAGACGTGACTTTTGTTTGTTAGTATCATTCGTATACCGAAAAAAAACATACACTATCTAAGATTGCAGAGTATAAATCCCAAATATTGAGACTCCAGAGAACTTACAATTTTCGTATAGCCTGCATGCGTTCATCGTAACAGTCCTGTCCATATCGAATCGCAGAAGACGAATTGTGGAAGTTTGCTTGAGCAAGGGACATGTAGCCCTACTTTCTTCGTTAGTCTGGATCTATTTTCAGGTAAGATCAAGTATGAAATTGTCTTGCATTAGATAGTTGTTTTGAAAGTTGCTGCATCACTTGCTGATACTCGTGCAATGTGTGCAGATAGCGCTCAAGCAGGTCATCCAAATGATCCAGCAAATCATCTTTATCTCGTTTCGCGACTACTTCATCCACCCCGGGAACAGGCATATCCTGCGTTTCCGCCATGATGTGGAGATTTCAGTGTCGTGGTGTTTGGGAAAATGAATGATGCCTGGGTAGTCGTGGAGATGTTGACATGGGGAAGTGTGGAAGCGGGGACCTATGCCGCATTGAGAGCTCGGATGTCCGACTGTACTAATTCAATCGCATCTCAACTTTCCCATCGTTGAGGTTACGACTCTGTCCCCTACCACCGACGCCAAAATGTCGAAACCAAACCCCTTCTTAAATCTCTTCAGGAGATACTACTCACAAAGGATAACTCCCCTTCCACGAACCACCCGCCCAATACAATCCAGCCCGCAATGCCTCCGCGCATGCCTCCACCCGCAATTCCTCCTCTTCCGCACCCAAAAACGCAATGTAGGCGGCGGACCCGGCCTCGACCCAAACTTCGTCTCTATCCTCGATCGACCGGCGAAAATGGCGCGCGCAGGCAAACAGCACGGGCCGGGCCTCATCATCCTCGCCATTATCCCGATAACCGCCTTCGTACTCGGGTGCTGGCAGGTGCAACGACTCGGCTGGAAAACAGACTTGATCGCGCGATTCGAAGATCGATTGACGTTCCCGCCGCTGGAACTCCCGCTGCGAATCGACCCGGAAGCCATCAAGGATTTCGATTATAGAAAGGTGTATGCGACGGGCGTGCTGCGACATGACCAGGAAATGCTGATTGGGCCGCGCATGCTGGATGGCGAGGAGGGGTACACGGTTGTTACGCCGTTGGAGCGCAGAGATGCGAGGGGCAATGTGCACAAGATATTGGCGTGTAGGGGGTGGATCAAGAAGGAGGCGAGTCCGCAGTGGTTTCGCAAGAAGAATGGGGCGCTGCCGGAGGGAGAGGTTACGATTGAGGGTTTGTTGAGGGTGCCGCCAAAGGGAAACATGTTCACGCCGAAGAATGAGCCAGAGAAGGGCAAATGGTTTTTTCCGAGTGTGGAGGAAATGGCAGAGTATAGTGGGAGTCAGCCAGTTTGGGTGGAGGAGACAATGAGTAAGTGCGCCTTTTTTGAAGAAACTGTTCAAATGATTGCTATTGGGGGGTATCTAATTATTCACCACAGCGCCTGATTTGCTCACAAACTACGAGCGCGAGCCAAAGGGCATACCCATTGGTAGACCGCCAACCGTAAATCTGCGCAACAATCATACACAGTACATCTTTACATGGTGCGTGTCCCATTTCCATATACATGCACCAACGCTCACATTAAACAGGTACGCATTGAGTCTTGCAACATCTGTAATGTTCTGGATGGTCGTCAAGAAGCCCATGTCAGGCACCCAGCGCCGGGTACGCCAGAGCGTGGACTGGTCATAAGGCATGACTGGGCCGCCTCAGTCTTCATCATCTTCTTGTATAGGTTCTGGCCGCTTGCGCTTTTGGCTTTTGAGCTTGACCGGGGGCTGCATGCGCAGCTGCTGGACCAGTTCCCGGGGGAGCATCTTTTGTGCAAGCGAAAACGATGTACTGCTATCAGTCGTTTTGCGGGTTCTTGTGAGTGTTAGCAACGTGTACGAACAAACTTGTACAAAACTGTACAGCAGACTCGATATAACAATACCTCTTCATGAGTGCGATGACGTCACTCTCCTCAATCATCCTGCGTCCACCATGCTGTGCATAAGCTGCGAGATCAATGCTGATTTGCTCGAAGAAGTCGTTGGTTGTATGGACAAGGGCATCAAGAGTGTCCTTGCTAAGGTGAGCTTTGCTTCCCTGTGACTTTATGAAATTAAGAGCAAGTTTCTTGACTGGTGCCGCGGGGAACGAAGGAAAGCCAATACCGTGTTCTGAAACCATGTATTCCTTGGCCTTCCGCACACCCTTTAACTGTTCCGCGGAAGGTCGCTCAGGTGAGTGTGTTTGGAGACTCCGGTCAATTGCTGATTCTTCTTCCCTATAGGCTGCAAGCTCGGCATCATCATCTACGGGAGGGTCAGATTCCCATCCTAGATTCTCTTGATCTAGGGTAAGATCTTGGTCCTCCAAAGCCGCAGTTGGATCTTGATCCTCGTCGTATTGTACTTCTGTATCGTCTGGGAGGTTTACAGGCTCGCTATCTGGCATATTGTCTTCCTGAACTTCTTGCCCTTCTGGTGGAGCTTGTCGGGGTGGCGCACGCATGCGATCAGGTATCATGAAGCGGAAAGTGGGTTCCTCTGTGTCATCGTCTCCATCCCCAAATATGCCCAGGTTGGCATCGCTTGTGCGCCCATCTCTTCGGCCGGTCAGTGCTTGTATGGTCGTATCGTCTCCGTCCAGATCTTCCTCGATATTTTGGTCAAACAGCCCATCTGCGCGTCGGTTGATGAACGTCCCATCTACTTCAAACTCTTCCTCTACCGCACCGAGTTCACTCAAATCTCCAAATCTTTCGCTTTGCCTCCCCCCGTACATCAAGCGAGGATCTTCACTAATGGCTCGCCTTCCAAATTCAAGAGACTGTACAGTCCCGCCATCCACATCATCCGGCAAGTCTGGTAGGAGCGATTGCCGTGGCGGGGCGCTATGGAAACTGTCATCATCGTCGTCATACATGTTCTCCAGTGGCATGGAAAGCCGTGGAGCAGCCATTGGTGGGCCATCTTCGACATCTGGCAGGTCAAGGGCAGAATGTCGTGGGCGCCGGGGCAGGACTTGCGGGGAAGGCTCGACCGGCCGACTGTCACGAGCAAGCGCTACATGATCATTTAGCTAGGGTAAAGAGACTTTTCATCGACGCATTACCTCTACTCAGATCACGTAGTAGATCACGCGGTGTTTCCCTCTGGATACGCCCACTTCTTCTCCGGTTGTTGCCCGGTGTCCGAGCTGCATTAGCTCTTTCCCTTAGGGCCCGTATCGCATGTGGAGTGGTCGGCGCAATTCGCCGTGAGGGAAGAGGGCGAGTGGCCGGTCCGCCTCGAGGTGTTCGTCCAGTTGCCGGTGTCCTTATGAGTGGTGTTCTTCGGCTTCCTGGGGTGGGGCCAGCGCTAATGGCGCGGCGGAAGGGGGTCATGGGCTGTAGAGTGGCATTGTTGCTTGGAGTGTCCTGAGCCTGAGCATCCGGTGAGAAGCGGTGCTTCTTGCGCGCAGATTCTGCCATTGCGGCGGCACCATCCGAGGTTGCGTCGTGGGAGCGCGGGAGAGTGGATAGACGTCAGGGAAACGCGTCGCTTGGGGGCGACCTCGCGGCGCGCGGCGGAGCTAGTCCCGGGTTGGTTAGGCTATCGATAACCTTAATCCTCGCTGTAACTTTTTCTGTTGCACGAACTTGGTCGCGCTCTTCACACAAAACACTGTCCCCGCCATGTCAGATTCTGAAGGAGGTATACCCCTCATTGAGGCGCAGTTTGACATTGACGCTTCTTCCAAAAAGAGGAAAAGAGAAGCCGAGCCTGAGGCAACCAAGGACGGCAAAAAAGCTGCCAAAAAAGCCAAGCGAAAGGAAAAGAAGAAGCAGCGTGCAAAGGCGATAGATGAAGATGACTTGGACCAGCAGTTGGGAGTGAACCATGCTTTCGAGCGCATGGATGGCCAGCTACTAGCAGACTACGTCAATGCGCGAACACGACTATATGGAAAAGAGTTGAGCAGTGTAGAGCTGGAGGACAAGTTCATTTCCGGTAAGTGTGGAAAATGCATGGTTTGGCCAGGAGTGTATTGACATGATGCAGCACGCACTGTACAAGATAGCACGAGCTGGAGCGAGCCACGAACGACGGATAATCTATCAGCCTTTCTCAAGAAGCAGGCAGGTGCGCTGCAGCCGACGCCTTCGAAGCCGCCCGGAGCACCACACACGATTGTGGTGACTTTGTCTGGGATCCGAGCGGCCGATGTGTGCCGGTCTCTGAAGTCGGGATTGCCCCAACAAGGAGTCCAAAAGCCGAATGTCGCAAAGCTATTTGCAAAGCATCTCAAACTGGCGGATCAGGTAGCGCAGTTGAAGAAGAGCAAGTAGG